AGGAAGAGACAAATAAAACCACAGAGAAAATTGTCGAAGATTTGTTGGAAGAGAATTTCCCTGGTATGATGAAAGATGAGAATATATCCATTCAAGAAGTCCAATGAAACCCAAACAGGATAGACCCCAAAAGAAAATCACCAAGATATCATCTTCAAACTCACCAAAACAAAAGACAAAGAAAGAATCCTGAAAGCAGCACAGGAAAAAGAAAAAGTTACCTACAAGGGGCAACCAATAAGACTAAGCTGGGATTTCTAAGCAGAAACCATGCAGGCAAGAAGACAACGGGATGGTATATATAAAATCCTGAATGAAAAAAATTTTCAACCAAGAATTATATATCCACCAAAACTGTCCCTCAAATATGATGGTAAAATTTGGACATTTCCAGATAAGCAGAAATTAAGGGAATTTGTTAAAACCAGACCAACCTTACAAGAGATACTAAAGGGAGTCCTTTGGACAGAGAGCCAACAATAGCAAACAATAACTGATAATTAATACACATGATGACATAACCCAGAAACCAAGCCAGTTATGGAAGTATCCAAAGTAAATAAGCCTACAAGATTGTAAACTGGGAACTAGGGACATCAACTGACAAATGAGGACAACTGCAAACCAAGAAGATGGAAAAAAAACTGTGTAGTTACAGAACTTCTTAATGGTAAGGAAGTCAAGACAACTGCAAGATAGAATGGACTGTTCTAAACTTGGGAAGCAATTATAAATCACAGGGTAACCTCAAAGAAAAATTATAAACCTTCACATCAAAATAAGAAAGAGGACCAGCACAAATATTTGTTGTTGTTGTTGTTGTTATGTGCCGTCAAGTCGGACTCGACTCATAGCGACCTCTCCTTGGGTTGCCAAGGCAGCATCACTATGGAAGTAGATTGCTCAACCTTCCTTCTGAGGAGTGGCTGGTGGATTTGAACTGCCAGCCTTCTGGCCAGCAGTCAAGTGCCTTAGGCACTATGCTACAAGAGCTCCTAATATTTAGCAAAAACTAAACAATAGCAACGAAGGTAATGATAACACAATTCATAAACAAAATGAGCTTGGCACAGAAAATTATATGGAACAAAGAAATCAGGAACACCATGAAAAAGCACATAACAAAATAACAGCAACAAATTCATACTTGTCGATAATTACACTGAATGTCAATGGATTAAACGCACCACTCAACACACGGAGAGTTGCACACTGGATAAGAAAACATAATCCACCAATATGCTGTCTACAAGAGACACACCTTGGAGACAAAGACAAAAACAGACCAAAAATCAAAGGTTGGAAAAAGATATATCGAGCAAATGGCAACCATAAAAGAGCAGGAGTGGCAATATAAATTTCTGATAAAATTGACTTTAAGACAAAAACCACCATAAGAGACAAAATGAAACCAAATACACTGCCAAATACAGTTGGCTCTGACTCATGGCAACCCCTCCTTGGGTTTCTGAGGCGGTATCACTACGGAGGTAGATTGCCCAATCTTCCTTCCGAGGCTGATGGACTTGAACTGCCAGCCTTCTGGTTAGCAGTCAAATGCCTTAGGCACTACACCACCATGAGAGACAATGAAGGACATTATATAATGATTAAAGGATCGAATGAACAAGAGGCTATAACAATAATAAATATCTACGTGCCCAATGAAAGAGCCCCAAAATACATAAACCAGACTCTAACAGAACTGAAAAGACAAATATATGACTCCAAAGTCATAGTAGGAGACTTTAATACACTTTTAATACACTTTAATACTTTCAGTCACAGATAGAAAAACTGGAAAGAAACTCAGCAAAGATACAGAAGAACTAAACAATACAATCCACCCACTAGACCTTATAGGCATCCACAGAGCACTTCACTAAACAGCACAATATACGTTCCTTTCCAGTGCACATGGAACATTCTCCAGGATAGACCGTATGTTAGACCACAAAGCAAGCCTCAAAAAATTTTAAAACACTGAAACATTGCAAAGCATCTTCTCAGATCACAATACTGTAAAATTAGAAACCAATAATACGAAGATGAACAAAAAAAGAGTAAAAATATGGAAACTGAATAACATCCTACTTGAAAATGACTGGATAACAGAAGAAATAAAAAATGAAATTAAAAAAGTCCTTGAACCAAATTAGAATGAAAACACAATATACCCAACTCTTTGGGACACAGTAAAAGCAATGATCAGAGACCAATTTACAGCAATCAATGCACAATCAAAAAAGAAGAAAGAGCCAAAATCAATACTTTTGAGACGAGAAAGGAGAATTTAAGAAGCATTAATGAAGAATTATAACCTGTGCTAACCTAAGTAGGGAAGTTCTGTTAAGCAGTGAAA